AGCTCGATATATGTTGTTTTTGTTGCTCTTCCTTTCTTCCTAGGGCCTTATCAGATGTTTTCTATAGCTTTTGTTGATTTTTGGCTGTTTTTGTTTCTTGTTCGTTTGTGTACAAGTGATTAGCGGAAAGAGTGTTGCTTTTATTTATGTTTGCTGGTCTTTTTTCATTCGATAGTCTTTCTTCATTCAATGGTCTTTCTTTATTAGATGGTCTTTCTTCATTCGCTGGTCTTTCTTCATTCACTGGTCTTTCTTCATTCGCTGGTCTTTCTTTATTCACTGGTCTTTCTTCATTAATATGTTCATCATAATTATCATCATCATAAAAATTTATATTAGACAATGCTTCATATAAATTTTCAATATTAGAAGAAAAATACGGCAGCTCATTCTTCGAATTTGCAAGATAAAAAGCAGAAAGCTTTTGCATGTTTTCAATTTTGTCTAAAGAAAGACGTGTACGATGTTTTCTATACCACCCTAATGTAGACCAAATTCTTTTGCATCCGGCCACATGTGGTGTTATAGAAAGTAGTATATGAGCTAATTGACAAATATGATTCTCATCTTTTAAAAAATAATCCTCCAATGACATCCACCAAACTGAAGGAGATTCATTATCATCGAATGATATATCGAATAGTGCAATGCGATATCGGTAGCTTCTCATTTGAGACATCAGCATTTTTCTTTCTTTGGGTTTCTTATCCATTTTTTCATAGAAACTATCTGCTGCCAAAAGAATACGCCAGAACGTTCCTCTTGTCCATACATCTGTATTAAGATAAAATTTAGTAAAATGTAAATCAAAATTAAATTTAAAATAAATAATTTACCAGTATATCCAAGATGTAAAAAATAAGCATAAAATATATGCATCGTCGTCAAACTCTGCAAATCTTCTATTAAAAATTGTAATTGCTTGTTGACGAAAACTATGATAATCATTCTCTGAAAGTCTTCTAATTGCTGCTCCCAAATAAACTAGACCAATGAAGCAGTCAGCTAGTGAACAATTTTGTGATTCAAGAATTGATATAGCTAGCTTAATAGGATGAAGTACAAATGCTAATGCATTTAAATCATCAAAAAATGCTCTTGTGCGTAGTATTGATTGCATTGAAACATTTACATTATCACTATTACAAATCTAAAATTATAACTTATTAAATTAAAATTTTAACAAAAAAAAGTATTATATTATTGTATTGTTCAACTTACTATTTCTAGATGCACTTTATGTCTTATAATCGAAAATACACAATCGTATATAGTATGCTAACGGGTATCCACCCACCGCTTAAGTCCTTCTCCTTCAACCAAATTTTCTTCGGCCAGAATTTTAAGTATGTTTTCTATAATTAAACTATTTTAATATTATATTTAATCATAATATTAATAATAAAAAATATTTTAAATAACAGACCTGCAA